CAGAAAACCAAACTTATAAGCACACAGAACGCGATCTGCCCTTGTCCATCCAGTTTAGTCCTTGGTGGTGTCCACTTGCCGTCTGCCTGCGCCCCACCATGCTGCGCACGTACAACTGAGTGCCTTCACCTTCTTTTACCACAGCAACCACCAGCACCACGCACTCCCAGAACCTTGCTGCTTCTCTCTCTCTTGTCTTTTCCTTGGAATCTAGGAAATTCTGGTTGTGGGGAGGGGGTGTGTAAAACACATATATATCTGTGTGTATAAAATGCAGTAGAAATTCATGGGTTTTACATATCCAAAAAAAAGGTACACAGAAAATAAATGCCAAGTAACAACTGTGTACCTTCCATTAGGATTGCATATACTCAAAAATAAGTGCTTTCGAAGCAAACATTAGCAAAATCCTTATACACCAGAATCTTGGAAGGTACCTGTCTTCAAAGAGGGACTATTTCAAACCAGAAACCATACACAGGTGAAAAGCACAAACATGCGATGGTGAAGCCTGACAAGAGTATTTCCCTCTGTGACCGCAAGAGGGCACACAACCAGTGGCTGTTTATACTCCGCAGGGAAGTAGAAGTGATTCAACGCACAACCTTGAGAATTTATCTGGAGAAAGGCAGCCTAAAAAATATCGTCATTTACAGGTAGACCTTAGTTTCTGTTTATTCAATAAAAATCAAAACATAATACACAAGAGAATGTTCAATTTAAAGGAAGCAAGTGTTTTTATTTCACAAAGAAATGATCCAACGTGACTACCAGTTAGAGAAGTCTGTTAAGTTTGGAACCTGGCACAATTTTGATTTCAGAAAATTAAGCACTTATTACACTATCATTTACCAGCCTTATTTAAATACACTCTTCAGAAAGGAAAACGTATTCCAAAATCAGAAAGTCATGCAAGCTACTGGAAAAAATGCCATACAGTAGGCCTCCCTCATCCACAGGGGATGTGTTCCAAGAACCCCAGTGGATGTCAAAAACTCAGATAGTACTATGTGTTTTCCTATCCATACACACCTATGATAAAGTTTAGTTTACAAATTAGGCATAGTAATAGATGAACAATAATAACAGAACAATTATAACAAAACACTGCAATAAAAGTCATGTGAATGTGGTCCCTCTCTCAAAATATCTTATACTGTTCTTACCTGTTTTAGGCGTGAGGTTGGCTGCAGGTAACTGGGCAGAAAGGGAAGCTGTGGAGGAGGAGGAGGGGGCTCCAGTACTGAGCTGCAATGCTGAACCTAGAGTTTTATTATTAACTACAACATGACACTGTAAAAAATGTAGTTTTGCAACTGTCTCAAATGCCCACATTTATAATTAGACCTGCATAACTTTCCATACAATGTACTTACATAATTAGTGAACACCAGGGATGGGAAGTTATTCCCTAACGAGGTTATTCCCTTGGTTCAACTGTCAGATGAAGAAAATTTAGCATAAGGAATCACCAATATGAGCAAATATGGCATTTCTTGTATTTTAAATAATGAACAGGAAAAAAAGAAAAAATATTCCAAACAAAGCTTCCTAGGTCTCAGTTTGACACCAAACCTCTAGATTCAGTGTGGCCCCTGCAAAGAGCTCTCTGATAACAATGCATCCATCACATGCACACATGTAAGCTGGTCATACACACACATACTCAGAAACACAGACGTTACAAAAATGGGAATTCTAGGTAGAACAAAGTGAGGGTCCACATTTCTAAACATGTAACACTGGTCCTTCTCAGAGCCCCCTCTGCCACTGCTGGCTCTCAGGCCCACACTCCATGCCACACCTTCCTGTGGACTTCCTGCTGTAAGGTGAACTACTACCAAAAGACAACACTGAAGACACTCAAAAATACGTGAAACTCACTCCCAAAAGTCACCTGAAGAGGATTTTGAGATCCACAACCCTATCTTTTCAGTATAATTTCCTTATGCTGGGTTAACTCTGAAAAATCCACAAAGAGAAATACCTGAAAAGTAAAAATTCATTCATCCGCACTTTTAATATGGTGATTCAAAATTGGACCAAAATTCACATTTAAACAAGCATTCACATAAGAAATAAAGCAAGCCACATGACTGCTAGGAAAGACTGGCCTTAACAAAGGTGCCCATCTGGGCCAGGCTCTAGGCCTAATGATCTGCTCTACTCACCCCTCCGTGGCAAAGGTGAGCAATGATGTCAGTTCTTCCTCTGCCCTGGCTCAAGGGTCCTCCTGGAAGGTCCACTGGAGCCACCTCTGGCCTCTCGGCCCAGCGTTGCTCTCACTGGTCCCTAGGAGAAGGAATTCTCCAACTGGTGGGGCCCAGAACAGAGTTGAGCCGGGAGCCTGGATTCAGCCTGCCCCAGCCCCAGATCTCTGGGTAGACTCAAGCAGGGGAGTGCCAGGCTGTCCGACTGAGTCACAGACCAAACTGTATTTCCTAACGGCTGCGTCTGTAAAGCTGACACCTATACCCCCTCAGCCTGACAGCAGTGTCACACTCTCAGCTGGCTCTGCACATGTTTACAGGATGTCATTTATTTGTACCCTACCCTCTTAATATCCCAACAATACTTATCTTCGAGGGTTATGGTGAGAACTGACGTCATGAACAAAAAGCACTTTATACAGTAGCCAGAACATAATAAGCGGCCAAAAAAATCTTGCCTAAGTTGATTTTATTATTATAATAAAAATACTGCTTTTTATTATCATTATTAGCAACCACAAAAAGTATAGCAAGAATGAGATACCACCTCACACTCAGCAGGATGGCTATTATCAAAAACACAGAAAACAAGTCGGTAGAGATGTGGAGAGAACAGAACCCTTGCGCAGTGCTGGTGGGAATGTGAAATGGGGCAGTCACTATGGAAAACAGGATGACGCTTCCAGAAAAATTAAATATACAACTACCATCTGATCCAGCAATTCTATTTCTGGGTATATACTGAAAAGAAATAAAAAGACTTGAACAGACACTTATACAACCATGTTCTTAGTAGCATTATTCACAATACCCAAGAGGTAAAAAGCAACTCGAGTTTCCATCCACGGATGAATAAACAAAATGTAGCATATACATACAATGGAATATTGCCCAGCCTTAAAAAAGAAGGTATTAATAATTGTTACATGCTACAACATAGATGAACCTTGAGCACATATGTTAGGTGAAATAAGCCAGTCACAAAAGGACGAGTACTGTATGATTCCACTTACATGAGATCCCCGGAGTAGCCAAATTCATAGAGACAGAGAGTAGAACTCCCAGGGGCTGGAGAGGTGAATGAGGAATTAGTGTTTAATGGGGACAGATTTCAGTTTGGGAAGATGAAAAAATTCTGGAGATAGATGATGGTGAGGGCTATACAACAATATGAATATACTTAATGCCACTGAACTGTACACTTAAAAATGGTTAAAATGGTCAATTGTATATTCTATATGTATAAGTTTATATACAATTAAAAAAAAGAGAGAGCAAGCGTGTATTGTTCCTAAAAAGTCCCATACCAAAGAACTTTACAAAAAAGGGCTGCCTGCTACCTTATTAAAATATTCATTTTTTGATGTCCCTGGTGAGACAATATTTTTATATCAAAATTGTCATATTCACATTTATAATTTTTTTTGCCTGCTACTTTAAAAAAATAAAATAGCAGCAATTAACATTCACTGAGCTCCTACTCTGTGCCAGGCACCATAGAACATGCATGCCATACAAACCATAACAACTTAACCCCCACAAGACCTCGACAGGTGAGGAATCATCATCCTCATTTCACATCTCAAACACCTGTGGCTCTAAGGCTAACTTACCCAAGCCCCAGGGCAGAGTTATGGTTTTACAACACGCTTTTTCCACACTTCCCTATTTATCTGATACACTCTATAAAAACTGCTCTTTTCCCCCAGGACAATCAGAGAAACTATATTACACAACAGTATCTTGCAAATATGGAGCAACATGCAAGTAAAGTTATGAGATTCATTTAACAAATCCCTACCCCCGCTCCACCTACCCACGCTCCTCCCCTTTATAAAACACTACTTTTGAAATTGCATCTCACTTTTCCATCTCCTAAGAGCACCTCCAACCAAGGTCAATATAAAGCAAATTCAAACAAATAAATAAATAAATCCACTGTAAGCTTCTTACAGGCAAGAACTATATAGTTATATTTATAAAAACCAGCAGTCTTTGCAGAGAGTTTCTTCTCAATAAATAATGCTGATTCGTGGAATGAGGAATGGTTGAGCAACACCTGTGTTCAGGGAGATGGAGAGTATATATTCTATAACATATATTTGCAGTAATAGTCTATTATTCTGTAAATACAGAGAACATCTGCTGGGCATTCAAATCACCAGCTTTACAGAATTTTCACGGCCATACCCTCGTGACACAAGTCACAAAACGCAAGCCTCTGAGAGAACTTTCAATTCCACTATGTGAATGACAACTAAGCAGCAATAAAGGCATGCCAAAGACTGCTGTTTTCCTTCTTGAAAAGATCATTTTTAAAACGTCAGTAAAAACAATGTTAAACAACTGCAGGAAATATAATGAAAGTGATGCACTTCAAAACACTATTACTAGTACAAAGAAAATTACTTAACTGGACATGATTGGCAAAAGTACCCATAGTAATAAAAATTAAATACAACCTGCATATTGCAAACTCCAAGTTCCAACACTAGTCCTAAAAAAGGATAAATTTTATTTCAATATAAAAGTGTAACTGCAACAATAAAAAATAACAAATTTGAGATGTTTCTCTTTGCACCTGAAAAATGTTCCCATGGAAGAAAACACCCTGACCCCAGCACCCCAATATGGGAATAAGGTAAAAACCAATGCCCTCCAACAGAGAACTTGAACATAAGACCAGGTCATCTACACAAGTTCAACTGGAGAACAAACTATGCTGAGCTTATCTCTTTCTGCTCCTCCTCATCCAGTCATTCCACCTGCAGGCCAGACTTGGCCACTTACCGCTGGCCTTGATCTCGCGCACGTAGTTGCTGGGGAACCAGCCTGTCCGGCCACCATGTGTGCCCTCCCACCAGCCTCCCTCCTCCACGCGGGTGACATGAATGACGTCCCCCTTCGCGAAGGAGAGCTCGTCCTCATTGGTCTGCTGGAAGTTAAATTTCGCTCTCACTACCAGTTGATTGTTGCTATGATCAGTCATGTCCTAAAAGAGGGGGAGGGATGGGAGAAAAGTTACACAATGCAGAGCAGCAGAGCCATGTTTACAGTAATTGCAGTTCCTCTCCCAGTGCACCGTGACCACCCACCCCATTCCAGCCCCGAGAGGACATCCTCTTGATGCTTTAAAAGATCTTGCTCCACACTGTTCTGCCTATATAAACACACACACACTTTCACATACATTTATACAGAATTATATGATACATACTTCTCTACAAGTTACAAAACTCCAGCAATACTTACAGTTACTTAAATAACCACATAATATTATACTGTATGACTGTACCATTAATTATTGAATCGGCTCTCCATTAATGGATTTTCAGGTTACTTCCAGTATTTTTCTATATGCCATATACAGTATTTTTGTTTTGTAAAACAAGGCTGCATTAAAAATATGTGTATATTTATCTTTGAACATATCTGTAAATAAGCCTATATATTAAATTCAGGTCAGAAAACACAGAAGATGACATTTTTAAATTTTCACATATATGTCTAAACTGTCCTCCAAAAAGGTTCTACAAATGTACACCCAGCAACATTCTCACCAATAGTATCTAAGAGTTCTTATTTCGTCAAACTTTCACCAACACTAGATATTGCCAAAGATATTTACTTTTGCTAAACTGAGGGGAAGAAACGGTGTCCCGTATTTTAATTTGTAGTGTTCTCAGAGACTGAGCATATTTCCAGATCTCTCAGAGGTGGGAAGAGGAAGGCAGACCAGGCTATGGTTTCCTTTTGATTTCCACCTACCCTGACTGGGCTCTAGGGAGGCTGGCAACCCAAAGCTCGTGAAGGGAGCAGACCAAAAGAAATTCCAGAAGCCTGCCCTTGCTGGCCACAGGAGTGAGAAGGGCAGCCCAGCATCTCCCCACCTCCACCCAGCCACAGGGAGGACCCAGGCCCAAAATTTGACATACACCACCTCCTCCACAAGCAGGCTCATCATCACTTCCCCCCATCCAGCAACAGCAGGCCCCATGGCAGCAGCAGCCAAATCCCAGCAGGAACTAGGTCCACACAAGGTGGATGAAGACGAGCAGACACCACCGCAAGGCCTTGAAAATTAAGCAGTCACTGGGACCAAAGCCACTAATACCTAACAGCAGCCATAACTGCCACACAAAACCCAACCGTGCTATAGCCTGATAAGACAGACTGAAGCAGGGTCCAGCACTCTTCCAAGTGTCTGGAATAAATCAAAAACATTCCTCATCCGATAAACAGGAAAATCACAACTTGAATGAAGAAAGACAATCAACCAATGCCAATACCAAAATGAAATGAAGCAGACGTGGAAATCACTGAAAAGGGTTTTCAAGCAGCTGTCATAAAAAGGCTTCAAGAAACAATTACAAATTCTCTAGAAACCAACAAAAAGAAAAATCAAAAACCTCAAAAAAAAAAAAAAAACTTAT